ATAAGGCCCGCTCGAGCTCCAACACACAAGAATAAAGCACTTCCGCTCGAGCGCGAAAACCAGTCCGCTCGAGCGTAGATTTCCCCTTCCCAGAACTTCTACTCTGGAAGTACTACCCGCTCGAGCGCCAACCGGCCCGCTCGAGCGCTACCGCTCGAGCGTCAACAAACCCGCTCGAGCGTAAAAATCACATCCGTAGAAGTTTTGCAGGAACCCGAAATACTGGAGGTGTGCAATACCCGCTCGAGCGCAAGAAGACCCGCTCGAGCGGACCGCCTAAAAACTGAACAACAAGGAATTGAAATCGAGGCCTAACCAACCTGTAACAACCTTCCTCAAAACATCCTAAAACTCAATCAAGTGGAATTAAAGGACAACAACAAGATAGATACCACTATCAACTTCATGGAACCGAGTCCGGAATACAACAGAACAGTAAAGGGACAACCGGGATCGCTATACTAATGGAGGAAAGTTAGCTATTGTACTTGTATACGTAGATGATCTAATCATCACTGGAGATGATGTTGAGGAAATTTGCCGAACGAAGGAGAACTTGTCAGTTCGTTTCCAGATGAACGAACTTGGACAACTTAAGCACTTTCTTGGGTTAGAGGTGGATTGTACACAAAAAGGGATATTTCTCTGTCAATAGAAATATGCCAAAGATTTGTTAAAAAAGTTCGGGATGCTCGAATGTAAACCAATCTCAACATTGATGGAACAAAATGCTAAGATGTGTGCACACGAAGGCAAAGACTTGAATGATGCAACAATGTATCGGCAAGTGGTGGGTAGTTTGCTTTACTTAACTTTAACTAGACCCGATATCTCTTATGCAGTTGGTGTGATGAGTCGATACATGCAAAATCCAAAGAAGCCGCATTTGGATGCAGTTCGACGAATTTTGAGATATGTGAAGGATACAATGGATTGTGGTCTGTTGTACAAGAAAGATGAAGATTGCAAGCTAGCTGGCTACTGTGATGCTGATTATGCAGGAGATGACGACACCCGTAGATCAACTACCGGGTATGTGTTTATGCTTGGATCAGGAGCAATTTCATGGTATAGCAAGAGACAACCAACTGTATCTCTGTCAACAACGGAGGCAGAGTACCGAGCAGCAGTAATGGCAGCTTAAGAGAGTACTTGGCTAATACAGCTGATGAACGATCTACATCAACTAGTGGACTATGCCATTCCATTGTACTGTGACAGTCGGCAGTTCGTTTGGCGGAGAATCCAGTCTTTCATGCAAGAACAAAACATGTGGAAGTGCATTATCTAGATGAAGAAGAATAATAATGTTATGGGGCAAGAAAACTACACACTAACCAAAGGGTTAGCAAGAGAGTTAGTTAAGAATTCATCGAGGGGAATGGGACTAAAGCCTATGAAATAAGAGTTACCACAACAGCAACCCAACCTAGTTGACTGGAGATCCCAAGATCTAGGTTCAAAGGGACAACCTAGTTGTGATTGACTCAGAAAGATCACTGTGGAGTCCAACTCCTACCCATTTCTATGATGAAATAAGTGATGTCTGCAGCGATTTAGGTTAAGTAATACTTTTAATGATTCTTATATCTAGGTAAACCTAGTGGAGTATGGCAGGATACTTTTCATAAGAATCACCTATATGAGTGTGAACTGGGCCGGTTCTATAAGATTTGTGAAGGGCTACAAGTCTTTAAAGCACTCATGAAAGACCAGGTTGTTCAGGGCCAAAATGAACACAATAGTGAGAACTAAACTGTCACTACAAGAATTTACACATTTTGCGACCACTTTTGCCGACCAAAAAAATTTTGGTCGCAAAAAAATGACATTTGGCGACCAAATATTAATTAGTCGCGAATGATGTTTATTTTTGGCGACCAAATATTATTGGTCGCAGAAGGTTATATTTTGGCGACCAAAAAATGAGTTGGTCGCAGAAAGTGATATGCTTTTGCCGACCAACTACAAATTTGGTCGCGGAAGGTCACATATTTTTTGGCGACCAAAAATTTGGTCGCCAAAAACTTATTTTTAGCAACCAAAAAAAATTAGTCGCTAAATTTGTACTTTTAGCGACTAATATTTTAGTCGCCATTGAGTGAGATTTGGCGACTAAAAAACATTAGTCGGCGAAGGTACTTTTTCTGCGACTAATATGATCTTTTGGTCGCCAAAAATTTGGGAGGCAAATTTGATTTTTATAGAGGCGGGAATTGAATTTTTTTTGCGACAAACAAAATTGGTCGCCATTTTTAAAACGTTGTTCCACGCATTCACCTTCACATGCTCTCTCTCTCTCTCTCATTTCCTTTTGTTTGCATCGCTCTCCTACTACTGATTACCCCAACCCACTCATCCACCAGCTCCAGCTATGAAAAAGCATATACATACACTTTCAAAACCCATATCATAAATTTCTAGGGTTTGAAGTTTTAAATGCAAATCCTTTCTTCTTCGTAGATTAGAGAGAGAGAGTGTGTGATAAATTGAAATTGATAATGCCAAGGCAGAATCGGGTTGTGGAGGGTTTGATTCCCGGATCCTGCAAGATCCGAAAGAGGGGTTGCTCGTCGTCTTCGTCTTCGTCCTTTGTGTTGCAGAATTACCGATTCAAGCGGGCCATTTTGGTGGGTAAGCCTCGGGGATCCATATCGAGCACTCCGGTTCCGTCTTGGAGGACGACGGCAGCGGCTTTGGATTCACCCAAGTACGCACCGTCGCAGAGCTGTGGTGGGAGGTCGAGGCCGGTGTCTGCGAGGAACTTGGCGGCGACGCTGTGGGAGATGAATGAGGTTCCGTTGACTAGGCCGGTGTCTGCCAAGCCCTCAATGCCCAAGGTGTGGGAAACAGAGTTTTGATGTTTCAGGGGGTGTAGCCATTCAATAAATCTAGGTTCATTTATGTTTTTTGTTTCCTTTTTATGATTTTCTTTTGCCAAGTAAAATAACACCTTTGCTTTGTTTTGCAGGCATACGATATGCGTAATGCTGGTGCTGTTATTCACAGTCATGGAATGGAATCTTGTCTCGTGACAATGATAAATCCTTTAGCAAAGGAGTTTCGAGTAAATTTTTGAACTTTAGCTCTTGTACTTGAGTATAAATAATTCCAATAACTTTTCCACAATCTATTTTTTCATATGTAATCCCCAATCTAACTTGATTATTGCTCTTAATCAAGGAATCCAGGTTCTAGAGTAGAAATGTCAACCCCTGTAGGGGAATCCTGCACCTAAGATGGGATTTATGTGCCACTAAAAAAAGAAAAAAATTCAATTTGTACCACTCCTGGGAACATTTCTCCCCAAAAATTTAGAGCATCTACAAGAGTTTTATGGAAAATGGAAAAGAAATTTCTCCCTGTAATATATATTAATTTTTGGGTTTTAGAAATGGGCATCTTTTTTCATTGCAAGAGAGTTATTCTGATAACTGTGGTTGGGGAATTATCTCATTACCAAATAATAATCGAGGCTATTTTGACAACAGCCAGCGTTAACAGATGGTTCCATCAACTTGTTGAAAATTGACTTTTGTTTGGTCTTGATTGGGTCTTCCATCTCATTATTGTGCATTTTTTGTTTGATTACAGATTACTCATATGGAAATGATAAAAGGAATTCAATGGCATGGTTATTATGATGAGCTTGTTGTCCCAATAATAGAAAACACCGCTCATGAATGGGAGCTGACAGATTCTCTTGCTGAAGCTGTATGTTCTGTTTATTCATTTAACTTAGCAAATGCATTACTTTTTGAGTTGAAATGCGGATTTTGCATGATGTTGAGTAAAGAAAAGAAAAGAAAAAGATATCTATATGGTTTTCAATTTGATTGATGGACTTAGATCTGAACAAGAATGACATGTGATTGCATGGGTTTGTAACTTTGTATCTCAGAATACTATCAGCTTCTTTAAAAAGCTCGCTTTGCTTACTTAGCTTTGTTGAATTTTTGATATATGTGCAGACTAGAAACTATGAACAATAACAAACGATTGTGTAAATGTGCATGTATCTGACAATTATATCAGCTTCTTTTCAAGTGTTGGTTTGTTTAAATAATTTTTAAGAATTTTATTGCTTTGGTAGTTTATTGCGAAATATTAAACAATTCTACATATTGAAAATTGAAGTACAAACTACTTGAACATAAAGATGTGAACTTGCTGAATATGACTGAAGTGCAAACAATTGATAATAAGAATCATTTTTTAGAATTGTTTAACATAGGCCTTGGCCATATGCACATAAGCCTCTTGGGCACCCTCCCTTTGCAAGCCGATTTTCAAGGGTGAGTTCTACCCAAGGGGTACGCATCATTTCGTATCAGGGCCAGCCACTACGTTTTTATGACAATTAGATTCAATGGTCAGTGTTTAAGTCTAATTTGATGAAGATGTTATGCTATACTTAATTTGCACAAATTGTTGTCCATGAAGTTTTGAGATTATTAGTTTCGATTGTTGTCAATTGTGGATGCTAAAGACTTAATTTTTATGTGGTTTTCATGCCTTTTTTAGGTTATCCTTTTGAAAGCAATCTGTGATCTGTACTGTTGCTTTCCACTTGATAGTGCAAAGGCACAATTTATTCATGTTGTAGATTGTGAGGAAATTTCTACTCAACTATCCCATTTCGTATAGCTCAATTTTAATGCTGGGTCCAACATTCCTGAAATTTTATTGCCGTGCCTAACATTCCTAGTCAATTTGTAGAACATTTCTACTTGATTTAATGTCGGGCCCAAATTTCTTCTTCGTTGCTTTAATAGTGGAAGCACAGGAAGCAGTGGCAGCAATAGAAGCAGGTATGATAATCTTTTTCTTTCATTTGTTCCGTTTATTGTGTATCCTCGAATTGATTGAATTTTTTTAAGCAGTGAAAATAATCTTGAATAAAACCCATGATTTTGATTTTGAGTTACTATGATTACAAAAAATCTTTGATATAGGTGGTTTTATATGTATATACTGTATACACATGTATAATTTAGTAATATTGATATTTATTTCATTCTAAATCCTGTATGTATTTTTATGTGTTTATAGTTTATAGATGTGTATATAAAATTATATAATATGTTAAATAAAGTGAATCTTATGATTCGTGATTCACTATTCTCTTATATGCATATTTGTGAATGGCGGTTACCTTCTACATGTGTGAGCTTTATTATGCTTTCCACTTTTTAGCTGGTTTTTGAAAATGAGCAAGGGAAGGTAATGGAAACCCTTAGTGTACCTAAATTTCAGTTGACCTCGGTCTATGAGATTATGAAATCTCACTTACCTCTTGGAGTTGCTGTTATCTGCATCATTTAAATTATTCTGTTGAAACTGGTGCATGGGTTTGAAAATTCCATTTGGTCCTAGTTAAGAGTATAGTTTATCATTCTTTCACTTTCTTAAAATAGGAGAAGAAAACTATTGCATGGAATAAGCAATGCTCACCCGAGCCTCAGGGGAGGTTGATATTTTCAAGTATTTCTGTGGGTTATTTCTGATTTCCATGCTACAATTATGACTGAAAATCAACAACCCCCATAAGATTTGTCATAGAAAGCTTTCTTTGAAAGATAAACTTTAGTTATCTGAACTGTTGTTATATTGGTGTGGGGGAAAAAATCACTATGACAATTATGACTATTCATTTCATTGCAGGGACACATATAATCTGTGGTTTATTTGTTCAATTATACTGATTTTAGTTTCTTACTGTTTTTTCTTAGACACATCTGATGGAACTCATTGAGCAAATGGTTCCTGTCTCTATTCTATTTTATTTTCTTGACTTTTAGACAATAAATGCTAGCCATGGATGAAACATCTAGTTGGTCGTATATAAAACGTTTTTTTTTTTTGGTCGTATCCTTGTTGTGTCCGTTCTGTGGTTGTATCCATGCTTATTAGATTCTCTCAAATGCAATTCTTTTATAATTATGTGTTATTAGGTTCATTACGATGCTAATGCAAATGGTCTTGAAACATCTAGGTGCTAATGTAGCTGGAGGTAGAGGTTTCTATCTGAAAGGATGGTGTACGCCTTAATCAAGCTCTAATTAATTTTGGTCTTGATTTTGTGGAGAAAAGGGGGTACACTGCATTGCAAACTCCATTCTTTATGAGGAAAGATATCATGGCAAAGTGTGCTCAGTTAGCACAATTTGATGAAGAACTTTACAAGGTAACATGTGCAATGTTTTTCAGATCATTAGTATATCAGGATGTGGGGGTATAACCACCCAAAGGTCATTTCCTAACACTAGTCCTTGTTAGAAAAATGCACACACACACACACATATATATATATATATATATATGAAAGGAATGGACACTTGATGGTTTTAAACAATCAGTTTAATTAGAAAATTGACCATTTGGTTTAATCACAAAATCTTATGCTTTATTTAAGAAAACTTTATGCATATTTTAAATTTTTACTAATCAAGAAAATTTATGTATTGTTTTTTGCATTTTACCAATTAGGGAGAAGCTTTAAGTAGAAATACAATTCATATAGGAAACTTATCAATCAGTTTAATTAGCAAACTTTGCTAATTATTTAAACTTTATTATTTTAGTTATATTTATGGCCTTGCATTTGTAGCAATGACAGTAGAACACATGGTTTTGTATAATATATATATATATATATTCATTACAAAAAATCCATGAACAGGAATAGCGGCTTGGAGAGTGGGGAGGAGTTTGCCTTGCCATGTGGCATTCAATAGGGCATAACACTCCTCTATGCAATATAATATAGATATTATGCGGCTGTATGATATCTCAAAAGAATCATTAACTCGTTGGATTTGTTCAACAATTTTGTATGTCAATTATGTGATCACCTTAGGTAGATCTTGTGAAATAATAAACTTCTATTGAAGTTCTGTGTGCTATCTTGGTCCATGGTCTTAAATTTGGTCCAAAGTTGGTGAAATTATCTGTACTTGTTGACTTTCTTAATGAGTAGGAGGATAGCTGTTAAAGCTGTACAGTAGTTGCTTTAAATCATGGTCCAGTTGTTCACTTTGGTCCTATGCAATAGACTGGATTTTCTGATCTTTAGACTATAAAGGCTTGGTATTTATTGAGAATTGACAAGCAAGTATATGATCTCCTAGTGTTTTGAGTTGTTTATCGCTAAGATCAGGCTGTTATTTTGTGTTAATTACATCTAGCTTAGGGCATTTTTGGCTTTCCATTTTTATTGTTTGACAACTTCAACTGGAATGTGTGTTGGATTTGGCATCAGCATGGAAGTTATAATAATATGGCATGATTTAAGTTAAAGCAGTTTGATGACGTTAACCCGCAGACTATTACACTTGATTCAAATTGTAAAAATAAACTATAGGTGTAATTCATTGGCTTGAGCATACCAAAACATGTACTGGGAAGAGAAATTGAGGATCTCAAGTAGCTTTTGATGGATGTTTATTGTGTAATAAAAAGCTGCAAAACTTTGAAATTTATGAATAGAAATCCTGCATGAACAGTTGTGTCCTGAAAAATACAAGAGAACATCTAGAGATGATTGACTCTGTTATCAGTATTCCCAATTTATAAAATGCCTGAATTAACAACTAGAAATGCCCCCACTCAAAATGAAAAAAGAATTTTTCTTGTTTTTTAGTGGAGTTCTATTCTCATTCTTAGGAAGGTCTTTCGCAGTTGTTCTTGACTATGAGTTCTTATAAGCTCGTTCATTTCATTGTTCATTAATAACTTGGGCTATTATAATTCTTTTGCCAGCTTCTGGCGCATGAATCCTTTTGTCCTAATGTTTGGATGTGTTACCAATGAGACCAGACAGTTAAGTGTATGACAACAGTGTCTCATGTAGTGACTCATGTGAGGAAGCTAGCTGCACATGGGGTTTTGTCATCTATTACCTTTATTTGATACGTCTGTCTGGTCAAGCAAATTTGACATATGGCTTGTCTATGATTTAATTTAATTAATTTTTTTGGTTCTTTCAAAAAAATGTAGTTTTATTATCTGTCACAGCTGTAACTTGTAAGTGCCCCCACCATGCTGTTGCCTCTTTGTCATGTTAAATGAGTAAAACCTTTGCCATTTCAATTTGGGTTAATTTCACTTTTATGTCTTAAACTATCGCCATTTTTTCTATTTCATTCTTAAACTATTAATTTCATTTGTTTTGTTCCTAAAATTTCTTATTTCAGATAACGTGGTTCAATTGGAGATGGTTGTCCAAGTCTTTGACAATTAAAAGACTAATTTGATGGGCAAAAATGTCATTTTAAGTTTTGAACAAATTAAACCATCCAACCAAGCTCTCATTTTTTTTATTCACTATTTTGAAATGAGGACCAGAGAAGATGAGTGTTTGATTGTATGGTGTAAGTTGTCCAATATATTGTGAGCAAGAAAATAGGTGTTGTATGATTTAGGTTGTAAAATTGTAAAAACTACTTTTTTGCCCATTAGATTAGGTTTCTGTCATTATTTATTGGGTAAATTACACTTACACCTTCTGAGGTTTGGGTTTAATACATATCATCTTTACAGTAATTCTCATTAAAACATTGATTGTGTTTGAATTCAGTGAAGAATTCAATCACAACAGGAGAATAAGATGATAAGCTTTATTTGCATAGAGGATTAATGATGGCTGTATCTTGATCCACCTGAATTCTAAAATGTTTAAATGTATCTTGAGTTCAAAATTGTGATGTTTAGAAGCAAACTTCAATTGTTCTGTGTACTATTTGATCCACCTGCAATGCTAAAATGGGTCAAATAGCCATATTAATCTCTAATGGCTTTATAAACTTTTTTAAGAGAACTCAATACATTATGTCCATTATTTTCTAAATTATTTCTGAAGATATTGAGATCTTGACTACTTGTGCTTGGGAATTCCTGTATATTGGTTAGATGATTTTTATTGGTCTGGAAATTCAACCTTGATGTTTGAGTGTTCAAATGGTCCTGATCAGTTTGGTACACATTTGCATTTAAGGAATAATTGGGATCTAAAAAGTATTTATGCAAAATACTCAATCCTGTATGCATGCTTGTGTTAATCTCTGAGTATGAACTATAAAGAATGGATTTTATGTAAATCACTCAAGTGAATATGTTTGTTTTTGTGAGTGCATGGCAGTATCAAGTCATATTGAGGTTTCCTATGTATTCTTTTGTTATCATGATATGAGTAAGAAAGTGAGCATATGGAATTTATCTCTAGAAGTTTTTCATTTTCTTTATAGTGTATTTATTTCTTGTCTATTTCTCCTTCGCAGAACAGCCTGGACACAAAGGTGGAGAAGTCAAGGAAGCAATTGAAGGAAAGGAAGAACAGGACCAAGAAGATCCGTGGTGTAAAGAAGGTAAGGAAATTGCTTATCTTGGCCTTGGGGTACACGTACACTGGTTAATCTCTCTGTCTGCACATTGTTACACAATGTGCAGACCAAGGCCGGAGATGGTGCAAAGGCTGGGAAGAAGAAATGAGATGTTGTGGATTTTGTGGTTATTGCATGCCGGAAGCAAAAGCGAAGAATGGTCTTACGCAGCAGCTTTCTTCATATAGTTATTCTGTTATTTTTGGATTTTGGTTCAGTTTTCTTGCTGCTTAATTAAAACTTTGGCATGTATGAATCTCTCTTTCAATCAATTTTACTACTAAGAAATTTTGTTCCTACCAGAATTCAGTCTAATTCTATGTATTACAATGACGAGTCATTCATGTTGTAAATCTTTTGAGGTCTGAAGTTACTTCAATGAGCATACTTAGCTTTACTGGACATCTTGTTTGGATTTCTTAGTTTTTTTTTTTTTAAAATGTTATTGTTCCGTAATTGTGGTTGGGTTGATTGAATTTTGTTCGATATTGGATTGGCTGGTTATAAACAAAAAAGGATTGTGACCAAAAAAAAAAAAGAGATTTGACGACTAAAAAATTGGTCGGCAAATTCTACACTTTTGCGACTAAAATCATTGGTCGGCAATTTCTTATCTTTTGGCGACTAAATTGGTAGTCGGCGATTTCTCGACTTTTGGCAACTAATCTATTTGGTCGCGGAATGTGACAATTGGCGACCAAAATTTTTGGTCGCGGAATGTCACGATTGGCGACCAAAATTTTTGGTCGCGGAACGTCCCGATTGGCGACCAAAATTTTTGGTCGTTAAATGTGATAATTGGCGACCAAATTTTTTGGTCGGGATAATATCACTTTTCGCGACCAAAGTGTTTTAGCAACTAAATGAATTAGTCGCGGTAATGATATATATCGCGACCAAAAAATTTAGTCGGCAAATCCGACTTTTCCCGACCAACCAAAATTTTGGTCGCGAATTACTTTTGCCGACCCTCAATTGGCGACCAAAGTAGTGACCAAAAAAATTGGTCGCGGCTAACTTTTGCCGATCAAAAATGGGCTTTTAACGACCAATTTTTTGGTCGGCAAAAGTGTTAATTCTTGTAGTGAAACCTCTAATGAAGAAGTAATTATTAATTCTTAGGGCCAAAATGAACACAATAGTGAGAACTAAACTGTGTCTGGGGATATACCGTGTGAGTTCTATTGTCTTGGTTTACACAAACGGCTGAACAGTTCAAGACATCATGTTCACTGGTTAGCTAGTAAATCCGAAAGTGTCTCACAAGAGAAGGTTCAAAGCCAAAAGCTACCTGTCCTTTGCAGAATATTACCAATTTTTGTACTCTCTGTATTTACATCATGTCGTTGCATTTTCTCTCTATCAATTTCATTCATGTGGGGGATTGTTGGAAAATTTATAAAGAGGTAGTTGTGAATTAAAATAGACTCCATTTTGAATCAAATGGTGTAACCTTTCATGGTGTCGTTTTGTTTTAAAAGAAGGGTCTCTATTTTGAATGAAAGGGTGCAAACCTTTCATGGTGTCTCTTTATTTTAAAGGAAGGGGTATGTCCCTTCTATTCAATTTGAATAGGTGCCAACAAAGCCTATATAAAGGCAGCCCCATTCCAATTTTGAGGATTCCGAAAATTCATTTTCCTTGCCTTCATTTTGCTCTCTTGCATCCTTTATTCTTCATATTATTTTAGGGTAATCAAAGAGAGTATAGATCGCAGGTTTGGTTCGCTGAACAAATTATTTGGAAGTGCTTCTATAAATTTGTGAAGATCATTGTATCCTGGGAGATAGACGCCACTCAACCGTAACCACCGTAGCGGGGCGAATCTGTCTTAAGGACAGAGTGTCACACACTCGACGTGGTCTTAATTTTAATTCGGTTCGATAAATAAATTTGGTATGTTATTTATTTATTTTGTTTGAATTTATTTTCAAGTTATTTTATTTTACATAGAAGATTGTTCCAACATATATTACTCTAGTGGTCTTTATAATTTGTTTTGAATTTCATTCTAGTCATTTTAGTTTTACATATGAACTTTTTTCGTTCCAAACTTTAAAGGTAAGGGATAGAGTAACCATATTACAACAAAATTAAAAAAAAAAATTAAGTTATGAAAATTGAAATTATAAAAAATAAAATGATTGTTCATTTAAACTATAAAAATTATTTAGCTTGTTTGGTTTCATAACTCCTGATTCACTTGTTAGAAAATTGAAATTTTTTATTTTTTCCTTTTTTATTTTTTGTTTTTATTGAATTTTTTAATATTTTAAACAGTTTTTGTAATTTTTAAGATACACTTAAAAAGTATAATATTTATGAAAAAAATATTTTTAAAATTCACTACATACCAAAAATACAAAATATGTATATATAGTACATTTTTCGTATTCTTGTGTATTTATTGATTTTTTAAAATATTTTTTTATAAATACTTTACTTTATAAAAACATCTAAGTAAGGTGTATTTAAAACAATAAAAAATTTTATTTAAAATTTTAAAATATTCACTAAAAATAAAATATATATATATATATATAAATAAACTCAATTTCTAAAAAATTAAAACCAAACATATTAGTGTGGTTTATCCAAAACAAATTGAGTAAAAAAGAAGGGTAAAATCTCCTATAACCAAAAAAAAAAAAAAAAAACCAAAACAAAAAAACATTTTGATATCTAGATGAAGAAGAATAATAATGTTAAGGGGCAAGAAAACTACAGCCTTGATCAAAGCGTCATCGAATTTTCCACAGAGCTGAGTCTCATCCCAAGCAATCCCTTAATCACCATGATAATTGTGTGTGGTTCATATTGACATCATGTCCCTAGTTACATTTTTGTCCAAGCAATCCCTTATGCTGTGTTTGGTTGGGAAATTTGGGGAGAGATTTGAAAAAGAAAAGGAAAAATGTGTGTGAAACTAGGTGAAATATAAGAATATTTTATTCACATTTCACCTATCTTTTCTATTTCCCTTTCTAAATCTCTCCCCAAATCCCCCAACCAAACATAGTATTAAACAACCTGGTCTTTCATGAGTGCTTTAAAGACTTGTAGCCCTTCACAAATCTTATAGAACCGGCCCAGTTCACACTCACATAGGTGATTCTTATGAAAAGTATCCTGCCATACTCCACTAGGTTTACCTAGATATAAGAATCATTAAAAGTATTACTTAACCTAAATCGCTGCAGACATCACTTATTTCATCATAGAAATGGGTAGAGTTGGACTCCACAGTGATCTTTCTGAGTCAATCACAACTCAGTTGTCCCTTTGAACTAGATCTTGGGATCTCCAGTCAACTAGGTTGGGTGCCGTTGTGGTAACCTTTATTTCATAGCTTTAGTCCCATTCCCCTCGATGAATTCTCAACTAACTCTCTTGCCAACCCTTTGGTTAGTGGATCCGCTATGTTGTCTTTAGAATTAACATATTCTATAGAAATAATTCCATTAGAGAGTAGTTGTCTTACGGTGTTATGTCGACGACGAATGTGTCGTGACTTACTATTATACATATGACTCTGTGCTCTACCTATTGCAGATTGTCGACGACGAATGTGTCGTGACTTACCGTTATACATATGACTCTATGCTCTACTTATTGCAGATTGACTATCGCAATGTATGCATATAGCAGGCACCGGTTTTGGCCATATTGGAATATCTTCAAAGAAGTGGTGAAGCCATTCTGCTTCTTCCTCTGCTTTGTCTAAAGCGATGAATTCAGATTCCATAGTAGACCTAGCAATACAAGTCTGTTTAGAAGATTTCCAAGATACAGCCGCCCCACCAAGAGTAAAGACATACCCACTAGTGGACTTTGAGTCTCTTGTATCCGATATCCAATTTGCATCACAGTATCCTTCAAGTACTGCTGGATATCTAGTATAATTAAGCCCAATGTTACGAGTAAATCGGAGATATCTAAGAACCCTTATAATTGCTTTCCAGTGTTCTACTCCCGGATTACTCGTATACCTACTTAATTTACTTACTGCATAAGCTATATTTGGGCGAGTGCAGTTCATCAAGTACATTAAGCTTCCAATAATTTGGGTATACTCTAATTGACAAATACTTTCTTGTACATTCTTAGAAAGAACAAATTAACATCTACAGGAGTTTTAGCAAGATGATCATCATCTTTGCTGAATTTGTCAAGTATTTTCTCAATGTAATGAGATTGTGACAAACCATATCCTTTTGATGTTTTGGTGATTTTCATACCAAGAATTACATCAGCAATGCCCATGTCCTTCATGTCAAAATGTTTATTCAACATTTTCTTAGTAGTTTTAATCATATCATTATTACTACCAAGATGAGCATATCATCTACATAAAGACATACAATGACATAACCTTTATCTGTGTTTTTAATATAAACACATTTGTCACACTCATTAATTTTAAATCCATTTGACATCATTGCCTTGTCAAATTTCTCATGCCATTGCTTTGGCACTTGTTTTAAACCATATAATGATTTAACCAATTTACTTCCTTTCTTTTCTTTCCCTGGAACAGAAGAAAATATATTAATCACCTTGCTTTCCTAGTTCAAAATTTTCTCACTATTAACCGTGGTTGTGGCTTAAAGAAAAAAAAAAAAACTATATATACATAATTTGAGGTGGTTTAGTATGTTCTAAATAAGTGTAATTTTGATTTTTTATAAAAAAAAAAAAAGTGAAAAAAACAGAAAAAGTGGCTAGAAAGTAGAAAGGAGATGTTGATTGATATAACCCAAATAAGTATATGTAAGTAAAAAAATACACTTTTTTAGTTTATCTCAAACACCTACTTTGTTTGGGATGTGGTTAGCTTTTCAACTTTTTAGCTATTTTAGTCTAGAGTTAAAAAGTCTCGTTTGTGATGATTTTTTGAATTTTGTCAAAGAAAAAATAAAATGATTATGATTTAGATATAATATTTTCTGTTATTAACTTTTTAACTTATTTTGTCATTTTTTTGACTATTTTAAATTTTTAACCCCAAAATTTTACATGCCAAACGAGGACATAATATTTTAAATGATGAATTACCCTAACGATCCCTATAGTTTGGGACTTGTGTCATTTTGGTCATTGACTTTTCAATTATGACACATTTGATCCTAAATTTTAAATCTTGTTCCAATTAAGGACAATTGAAGACAACATTTGATCTTTTAAGGGCAAAACCGTTAATTTGACAAAATATAACTAATTTGACAAAAATAAATGTCAAAAAAATATTTTTTAAATTATTTCTACACTCCAAAGATAAAATTATGTGAAATTTGATAAATCTTTTAGACATTTATTTATTTATTTATTTTACCAAATTAATTTTTAATCTTTTCAGTAAAAACACTTCACTTTTTGGTTTTATTAGGGCCAAAATTGCATAATA